TAATTCTATGATGGAGGCTCCCAAATGGAAAATTCAGAAAGCCAATCTTGAAAAATTAAAAGCAATTCTTTTTACATGAACTAGGTAGGCAGATTATTACTGGATTCTGATTTGTGATACACAGCAAAGATGCCCAGTGGTATTTCAATTACATTATTTCAAAAAAGGAACATTCTGGGAGGCATTGTCATCTGCCTCAGAAAATCTCAAACCACATCAGTGTCCAGTACCTGCTGGGAGAAGTAAMTGCTCAAAGATTCCTGCAGATCAGGGTGTTGGGTTGTTTGATAAACAGTGAGGCCTTCCAGGGCTATGCCTGCAATCAGGAGATGCAGTCATAATTAATGAATTCATTAATTTCTATTATTTCAATTCAGCACTCACAACATCCTAATTGCACTTAAGTGGAACTATTTTAGGCTAAAAAGACTCATAAAAGCTCTGTGAAGGATTTGCACGTCCCAGAGCTGTGGGCAGCCACCCAAGCTCCCTGTGTTTACTCCCAGCCTCTCACTCGCAGCCAACTTCACAGCAAGTTCCACTTTTACTTTTTCCAATTTGGTTCACAAGCTTTGGATACAACTTTTCTCATCACTGACTAATTAAAAWGGGTCTCCGGGGGAAGTTCAACCTTTTTCTCTCAGCACTGTAGGAAGCACTTCTCTTTTCAGGGCTCCACAAGGAAACAGAAGAGCTGAGGAATTGGGTTTCTCTCCTGTAAACACACAAACAAGAACTTTAATTAACTCAGGCCTTTAATAAAGAATAAATGTGATTTAATGCATTTTCAAGATATCAAATGCTGATTTATCAAAACCTTCACTATGGACACAGTTTTAAGGTAGCTGAAAACATCTGCAGTGCAGCTGCAGCCCCAATTCAGAGGGCAGAGGCTGCTTATCAAGAACATTAAAAAATATTACATAACTAGAATATGAATATTGGCTAAAAGGATCTCCCCAAAGATAAACTGCATTTCTATTCCTTTTGCCCTTCTACAAAGGGAGTTATCTCCTCYTCAACACAATCTGCCTCAATTTTGTACTTAAAAATCTCTGTCCCACTCAATAAATGACAGAGCTCTCAATGAAATATTCACACAAAGGAAAGGACAATACTGTGCTGAAAAGTTTCAGTCTATCTGCAATTCCATTTTCTTACTTCCCCAAGGAAAAAGGATTCTGCTTCCACTGCTGGGGTGGCAGTGGATATCCYCACTTGCTTTTGTCCAATTAGCAATGTAACAGCAGACTTGCTTTGCAGAGTTTTTGCCTTTTCTATAAATAACAGACCCAGAGAAAATTTCAAGATGAAATTCCACACAACTGCTACAGCTTGGCCTTCAGCTTTGAAAAGGAATTAAATTATTTTATTCCTAATTCAGATTTGTTAACACATTTCTAAGAGGAAATTACTAGAGAAAAATGCTTTTAMRTGCWGGAAGGAGATTCTTGGTTTATGYAAGGAGCAGAGATTCCTCAGGGATAAATAAAAAAGGGCAGCAGAGTGAAAATCAAATGGAAAGACMCTTGTAGGWGTCAACCCAGACACACCTGAGTGTTCTGACTGCACAATAAAGTTTTATTAGAAACCACAGATATGCTTAAATTAAAATTAAAAATTAGAGGTGGGTTAGATCATTCTTGAAGAAGAATGTAACAAAGATTTTAAAATTAAATAAAAGTRGAATATTTCAGCATCAGCTCTCCTGTAACTCATGTCTGTTATTTGAAATGTCAGTGTGATACCTGTAAACAAACACCAATTCTTTTTGGCAGAGAAAAATTCCTTGGTAGGCCTGAACAACACATGGATTGGTACCTCCTGCTTCTGTAACCAAATATTTGCTTTAAGAGGAGTAAAGGCAGCCAGTTATGCCAGCTCAAATTCCTTTATTTTCCAATTCCTTAAATTGAAGTGGGTACCAAAGCACAAAAGGTGACAACAAAGAAATCTCATTACTTTAACTTCTATTTTTATTCTGACGATAACCTCTCATGGTACAAAAAATTCAGAGCTATTCTTTTCATTTACTTACTTTATGCACAAACAAAAGTGAATTTACACATAAGAGRGAACATGAGATAATTTAATTTGTTCTTCCAAGGTTGTTATAAACCCCTTGATCAGCACAGCCCAATAAATCCTTGAAGCTGTTTCTATGTATCAACAACAAACAGGCTCCAGTGACTGAAATTCACTGCTTGGTTAATTTTTTTTTCACCTTCATACAACAGAATAAACAGATATTTCTCTTGTCTTTCTTCTCAAAAAAAAAAACCCTGCCTCTGCAAACTGGCAACTATTAATTCATTGCCAGAAGATTTTCCAGCACTGAAAAATCAGCTGAAACCTTTCTTTGCTTTAATACATCTGTTGAAGAGGAGAGATGGGCTATTCTTCACTTATGACATATTTGTGTTSTAAGTGTTTTTAATTTTCAGAATTTATTATTTAATCTCGTGTTGGCAACTATCATTTTTATCATTAAATATTCCCTACAGTTGGAGTCAGTGAATCAGAGAGCACTGTGCCTGGGAAAAGCAATCCTTGCCAGCTCAAATCCCATTTTTCTTTCCCGTATAAATCTCTGCTGCTGTGCAGAATTTGCTCATCAACTCTCTCACATCTGTACAAAAACACCTCCTTTTTTTCACAGCTTCTACTGACCCATCCACTCAAAAAATAAACAGCCCCTAAATCTAAAAATCTCCCTTGTTGCTACTGGAAATTTTAACAAATTACAGTAAAAACAATAAAGGAAGCAAACTAACAGACTTTAAAATTTCCCCAATAATTTGATAATGGATTGAGAAGCATTACAGATTTAACCATAACAAAATGGTTAAACAATCCTTAAAACAGCACTTTAATTTCTTCAAAACCACTTTTCTATGGTGCTGAAAACCAGTTTCCCCTGAAACCACAGGGTAATTTTGGAGAAAGGCACCAGTATTTAAATCTTCTGATTTAGCAGCAATTTCCAATCATTACAGCTCTGATCTTCCAGTAAAAATAAACTTTTGCCTGCTGGCTCAGAGAGTATTTATTAACCAACTAGAGAGTCTAAGATTTCATGTAAATTAATATCTTGTATATGAATTTTGAAGCATTTTTTGCCTCACTGTGTGCTTGATTTTACCTCTAGGAAATTCTTAAATGATGGAAGGCACATTTACCTTAATTTAATGACAATATTTCAGCTACTTACTTGAACAAATATACTCAGCTAATTTCTCAGCATTTCCAGACTTTTCTCCTTGTGGAATAAGACCAATTTCTTCCACTAGAACCAGAAGCAGCAAAGAAAAAACACAGCAAACAATAAGAACAATTCAGATTTCCTGTCACAGAAACTATGGGATGAAAAGGGAGGCACAGTTTGATCAAGCACAAATTGTGTCCAATCTCAACCAGGTTAGAATCCCCTTCATGCAATTTAATTTCCAAAAAGAATGGAAAAACCACATGCAAATTAAGAACAAAGGGTTTTTTTTGCTGGTTTGACCCAATTTTTCAAGCAGTGACCATCACATCACAACAAAAGGAGCAGAAATCCAGAGGATGGATTAGATCCATGGATATCCTTGGCTGGAGCAAGGATAGTTCTAATGTGTGTCCAATTCCCTCTCTTCCAAATTATCCAGTTCTAAAACTTAAATTTTTTACTGACCGCCCTTGAACAGCAGCTCATCCTCCAAAAATTGTACTTARAAGCCAGATTTAGCCAAGATTTCTGTTTTTAAACACCAGCTTACCTAAAGAAGCTGTAGCTTTTCCTACCACATATGTTGGTTTGATATTCCACATTTGTTTAAGAGATTTTGACCAGGCTGAAAAACATTAAATTATACTAAATTAAATTAAATTAAAGTACACAGCAACAGAATGTGAATGCTAAATGACTATTTGGACTTCTGCTTAATCCCCAAATACAGCAAAATGATCATAATAATAACAAAAACTCCACTATATATTTGGATGTACAAATCCTAATGGATCAAAAATAGATACACCAAGTCTTTTACTGTCTTGAGGTAAAGCAGAGCACCACAGGACACTGAATTTCTTTCTGGTACTCCTGGAGAGGGAGAAAAAAAAAACAAACTATAACAGCAAAAATAAAAATCAGAAGGGAAAAAGCAAGGATGCCTTGCCTTTGAAAGGAACCCAAATAGGATCAACAGACTCACTTTATTATTAAAATATGTATTTCCCAGAAGTCCAAAGTTAGGGGTGAAATCTAGAGAAGAGATTACTTTTRAGCTAAAATCTTAATATATAATAAAATCTTAATATATAATCCTCTGCTGCTGCAAATGCTACAATAAACTGAGGGTCTGTGTATTTACTGCTTACTCAAGGGTGTAACCTTACTCACAGGACATTGATTTGTTCACAGCCCAAATATGGAGCACACAAAGTAGAAACTCGAGGCCAGAATCACTGAACATAAGAATTTGGAAGAATTTACAAGGATTTGACATTTCCTTGTGATGGTATTTCTATTTAGCAGGATTTTTCCTCACTACTGATCTGTTGGCTTTTATGCATCACCATTTTTTAGCTAATAATTAATTCACTTGAGAAATTTCTTATTCAAGGCAGAGATTTCCCTTTTTCTKTAACATTTCATACAAATCATCCAGGCACAGGAGTAATGGCCACTTTTTCTGAGATGATCTCCTCTTTAAGGAAGGAAAGCAGTTAGAAGGCAAACCAGGCACTGCAGCAAAATGTTCCTCATGCATGAGATACCCAGGGCTGGAAGAGCTCTCACTAATTAGTAATTTGCACCAAAAGCTGCTTCTTTTCATTCCTCAGTGTGGAAAACCCAACCCTTAAAAGCTCAATGTACCAAGTGCTTTATGATACTAAAAGAACTGTGGTTCCTTTCAAGGTTGTTTTTTTAAAGTCTTGCTAGAGCTATCTACCAGTGAGTGAAATAAAATTCAATGAAATTCAAATTTTACAAGATCCTGAAAGAAAAAGACTAAGGGATATCAATATGTATTTACCTTCTTTTTTACTCTTCTCTTTTAAACATATCTTGATGGCTTCTAATGCTCTTGGACTGGTAAAAATTAGGCCTCCATAGCACTCTGGATGGGAAAGCTATTTAGAAACAGTAAATTTAAGCATTAAAAATCCCCAAAATTAGTAAATTAATTTTAAAAATTAGTTGTTCCATTCTTTATAACCTTRTGACAAGCAGAACAGCTTCAATAAATGTCTGAAATACCCCAATACTTGTGACTTGGCAACCAAATCCCGYTGGAAATTGAACAAATGAAATAATTTAAAGCTTACCTTCTCAAATAAACTGTCAAGAGAGATGAATTCAAATGACAAAACTGGGATCAATGCTGCTTCCAAGCTGTATGATCCTAATTCCTATCAAGAAAAGGTTTGCAGCTCTTGAAATAAGTTCCAAACAGCTTTTTTTTTTTTCCTTTTTCAAAGAACTGACTTGGCCAACACAAGTATTTATTTTTAGTAAAGCAATATAAAAAGGTATTTTATTTCCTTTCCCTGGTAAATCTATTTTGGATTTGTTAGTTATTTAAAATTACAACTCCTATTAAACAGCTGTGGGACTGTGGCCTCCTGAGTAGCAGAAGACATCAGCACATAACTAAGAATTTTTGTAATTTTAATTCTGTCCATATGAATAGCATCAATATTAATTAATTCAAATAAAACTGGTTTARTATCAGTACTTTGCTGAGAGCTTTAGCAATGAATTCAGTACAAATGTCCTGTAACTGATACAATTTTTTGCAGCAAGGGTGAACTTTCTGGAGTATTTTTCTCTTAGCATGATTTCAGACATGGACTCCTAATATTGTTTAAGCACCTTTTCCCACTTGAAACACCTGCACTCATCTGATACTATGATTCARCAAAGAAGTGACATTTTTTTAAAARCTTTTTTAAAGTTTACTCACTTTAATATAAGGATCTGGCCCCGAATCTTTGTCTTTGGGCTCCTTCAGCAGCAGAACCTTCATTGTTTACCAAGGAATTGCAGCAGAACCCTGAAATACAAGAATGGAATTTATCTAAATTGGATCTAGAGGACCTTTTGCTTGAACAGTGACTTTCACAGCTCCGAGAACTGGGTTGCCACCAGTTGTAGAGCTCCCTACACAATGAGTAAGCAGTTATTGTCCATTCTCTGGGCAGAAACATCCACCCTGATAAGGGCAGAAAATAATCTGCTGCCTTTAGATAGCACTGCTCAAGTAAGGGRCTCGAAAGAAACTCACCATGGGGAACACATTTTAAAGAATTTTGCAAAAGCAGAAACAACCCCTACAATGGAGGATGTTCTGCAAAGGAAATCAGCTCCAATCTATAAAAAAGTTATTTATTCTGCTAATTTCCATGCTCGTTGACATACTCTGTTCATCATAATAAGCATGTAAAGAGACTGATTTAATTTGATGCATTTGAGGTCTCACCTTTTTCAAAACAGTGCTCAAACATGTTTTAAAAAATTCAATATATATGTTTATATATATACATCCCTGCATCTAAAATAAAAGAGAATATTAATATACTTTCTTTGATACTGTAGAAAACAAGGCAAGACTAAAAGCAGATATTCCRAAATTAAAATAAGACAGCTCTCAGTTCCTTTAAAGCTCACTTTGGTGCTAAATTCAAAGTTACAAAACGTAAGCAAATACACCAATAATACAAAAAGAAATCCATTCTCAGTGCACATTTACCCCAATAATCACTGTGGTASTTTCCTGATAGATTGCAGATATAGGAAGATCCATCTTTCTCAAAATTCTTTCCCTGGATATCAGTATTCAAATTTTGGYAATGACCTAAGTGCTCCCAGAGCAAACACAGCTTTCAAAATAACAACAAAAAAAAAAATAAACACAGGGCGTGTTTGGAGCTTTAATGAGAAAATGAACATTTTAACCTACTTGAGTTGTATTTATAAAGCCGGAATTACATCCCAGGCTCTGTGCCTTGCGTTTCTTCTGGCTGGCAACAATGAATGCCCAATGCTCTTCTTSCCATGGCCTCATTAACACCCGTCTTTCTTCATTAATTAGACACAAAGTGTTAAATGCAACAYGTTCCACATAACTGAGGCTCGATCATTAATGATCATTTCTACAGTGCTCAGGATATTTCAACGCATTTTCCCGACTGGTATTTTCTATAAAGACCAGAATCACGTTGTGCTTACTGTGCTCTCCCTATCACCCCTTTCTGTTTGTTTGTCTGGAATTATCCAGGGAATTTGGTTCGCGATTTTTAAAGCAAGCAGCGAGCGCCTGATTCCTGTTTTACGCTGCAATTTTTACTAAAGCTAATTTTTACTTACAGCAGTTTTTATTAACGTCGGAGATGGCTCAGGGCACTCTGTTTCTTTCAAMGCACAGAATCGCAGAATGATTAAGGGTGGAAAAGAGCCCCAGGGCCATCGAGCCCAAGCTGTGCCCGATGCCCGCCTTGTCCCCTCAGTGCCACAGCCAGGCTTTCCGTGGCCACCTGCGGGGACGAGGACTCCAAACCTCCCATTTAACTCCTGACAGCCCCTTCCATGAAGGAATTTCCCTGGAAGGAAGTGACACCACAGCGCGAAGAGGAAATCCGGCTTTGTGGGGACGGGGGCGGTCCGGGACTCTCCTGCCGCCTCAGGCTGCCCGCGCGTCCCTCCGCGCTTTGCTGGCGCTGCCCGCCGCTCTCTGTCGCGACATAGGGTGACACAGGGTGACATAAGGGGACACAGGGTGCCATCCCGCCGCTCGCCGTGCCCCGGGCACCCCGTCCTGCGCCATGGCCACGCCGGCCAAGCGGCGGGCGCGGGTTCCCGCCGGGGAGCAGAGCTCCCACAGCGCCTCCGACAGCGSCTCCGACAGCGGCTCTGAGGGCTCCGGGGCATCGCGGGCATCCGAGTGCTCGGACTCGGACGAGCCCATCGATGAGGTGAGCGGAACGGGCCCCACACGGCCCCCAGAGGAGCTGCGGGAGAGGGGGATTGTGTGGGGGATGTTCGGGAAGGGGTCGGGCAGGGTTTGTGCCCCGGCCATGCCCCGGTGAGGCCCAGCGCATGTCCTGCGGGAGCGACCCTGTGTGTCGGTGATCTGAAGTGTGTTCGCTTCGTTGTTGTTGAAAATTTTTGATTTTTTAGTTGTTTTTCAAATGCTGGGCTCCCCGAGGCCTCGGCTGTACAGATCCAGCCCTTGGCGTGTCCGTGTCCGCTCGGGTGCGGGACTGGAGGTGGCTGCTTGGAAATAGTGCTGTCAGCACGGCGGATTTGCTCTTTCATTATATTTCGCTATATTTTGTTATTACATTAGTTTGCTTCCTTTTRTTAGCGAATCCCAGAATGGTTTGGGTTGGAAGGGATCTTAAAGCCCATCCAGTTCCACCCCTGCCATGGAAAGGACTCCTTCCACTGTCCCAGGCTGCTCCAAGCCCAATGTCCAGCCTGGCCTTGGACACTGCCAGGGGCAGCCACAGCTTCTCTGGGCACCCTGTGCCAGGGCCTCAGTGTTTCCTGGATTTTAGTATCTCCTAAGAGATTGTGTACCTCTTACCTGCATTACAAATAGGTCTTTAACACTGTTCTTCCAGTGGACAACAAAAGCCATGATGTCSATGCGGCATTGGAGAGAAAAGTAGGGCTCAGTTGTTGAGGTTACTCAGGAAGTGTGATTGAAACTGGCATTTAAAAGGCAAAGTAACTTTGAATGATCTTGAACAGTGGAATAGGTAGGCAGGTAACCTTGGCAGGCAGTACTTTTTATAYAGAATACCAATAAAAATGTTGCTAGGCACACAGCATTTGTTTAGGAAGAAGCAGCAGTTCCCATTCTGCTTTTGCTGCGACTGTGTCTCATCATGAGCCTGCTGAGTAGAGTTCCACAGTGGGGTTAACGACACCATGAGGATTTGGGGAAATAGCAGAAATGTGGGTTTGGATGTAATTACCTAAATGTCTGCAGCAATTTTCACCTTCAGCTGAGGCAGTACACCCCAGTCCTGCAGTTTCTGGGGTTTAAATACCTGAGTCAAGGCTCTCTATGGGAAGAGTTTGCAYGGTTGCAATAGGTGTAATTGTGTGAACCAGATGGTAGGAGCAAAACATTAAAGGTTTGTTCACAGCACAATTGGTGGGTTATCTTTGAAAAGTTGCTTTCACAGATGTTCTCTAAAGATCACAGGAGAAAGGATAACTTTTAACAATTGCTGAGATTACTGCAAGGAGGAAATCCATTTTGTTTCTGCTGTTTGCTATTCCTTCTCTTCAAGTTTCTTACAGTTTAGCTTCGTTCTGATATAAGTTCTTGCCAACTGTGTTTGATAATCTTTGTTCTACTCCATAGGAAGTGAATATTGAATTTGAAGCACATTCCATATCAGACAATGACTACAATGGGATAAAGAAGCTACTACACCAGGTACTGTGACTTCTTGTTAGCTTGATTGATATGTCCATTGATAGGTAGTATCTAAAGAGTTATGCAAAGACATCAGTTCACATTCTCTATATTGATTTAGAGTTTTTATGTATTATGGTGCTTGCATATATTTGCTTTTGTGTATTGATTTTATTAGAGAATCCCAGAATAGTTTGGGTTTGAAGGGACCTTACAGCACATCCAGTTTTACCCTCCAACAATGGACAGGGACACCTCCCACTATCCCAGGGTGCTCCAAGCTCCATCCAACCTGGCCTTGGGCACTTCCAGGGATGGAACAGCCCCAGCTTTCAGATCACACCAAACTCCAGAGGATACCAGGGTGGAAACACCAGCCTGTGGAAGGTGCAGGAGCAAGCACTTGATGCAGCTGATTATTAGTTTTTGCAGTATTATAATGAAATTAAATAGAAAACTCACTTTATTTTCAACTAAGTGGCCCATGAGATACCATCAGTGTCCAAAACTTAATCCTTGTTTCCTGTCTTCCAGTTGTTTCTAAAAGCTCCTGTTAACACAGCTGAATTAACTGATATATTAATACAACAGAATCATATTGGAAGTATTATCAAGGTAAGACAGATTTTATATTTGTGATTGAAGTACCATGCTTTCTATGTTGAAGTGACATAATTTCTGTATTTCAGAAGGCRATTCTTTCTTGCTTTTTTGCTTTAAGAATAATTCGTCTATGGGGAGCTGAAATTTTTCCATGCCTACTTTGAAGCAAAGAAGGAATTTGGTATATTATTATACCTGGTTTCTTTTTACGTGTGGAAGGTTTTCATGTTCAGTTTTGATGTAGTAGCATAGTAATGCTGAAAATGCAGTGGAGACTTTTGTTACCATCTCTATAAGAAATAGGAGCTTTTGRCTTTCCTACAGACACAGCTCTTTGTCCCCCTCCCTATCAAAGCTTTATTGCTCAGTGTTTATTAAGGCACTCCAGGTTTACTTCCCTCTGTTAGAAACTGAMGGAAATTGGTTTTGCTTAAGATATTGCCATCCCCTGAGCCGAGATGCTGCTTATTAAATGGGAGCTGTCAACTTTTAGTGCCTTTCAAAARACTGTGCTGTAGAAGATGCATGACCTGGCTCTCTCTAAAGCTCTGAGCACTCTGAGATGTTCAGTGATGCAGCAGAATTTGCAGTGTGTGTTTGTACAGATTTCCTCAGTGGTTTTCATCTGCTGAGCATCACCTGGAAAGAAAAACATCTTTTTCTACAGAGTGAAATAGAATGTCAATATGATTTGTTGCTTTCCTTCTGTTCAACAGCAAGCAGAAGTGCAGGAAGACAATAGTGATGATGATGATGATGAAGATGATGATGAAGTCTTTGGTTTTATAAGCTGCTTGAACTTAACAGAAAGGAAGGTTGGTATTCCTCATTAACATCTGGTTATAAATATTAGCACAAGTAATAAATGAGACTGCATCCTGTGTAACAAGCCTGGACTGCTGGATCAGGATTTTGAATTCCACTGTGGAAGACTGGGAGTGTAAAACTTGCACGTGGCTTAGCTTTTTCTTCAATGTAGTGACATGCTGAAGGTCAAAAATAAAGCAAACAATGGAATAGAGAGTTAAAGCTAGGTCTAATAATTCCAGAGTAAGTGAGCTGTCAGTCTCCTGTATTTCTTCCCTTGGATCCTCTGCAGTTTGAAGCTTTGCTGTGGTGTTGCAGCTCATTCCCATCACTTCACAACCTCTGTTTGCCCTCAGCTCCAGACCTGGAGAATGATTGCAGAGCAATTGTGCAGTRCTTTAGAGGYTGCTGAGTGAAATTGCCACCAGGCYTGTAGGAAATTCCCTTGAACCTGACATTCAAGGTTTTCTTGTGTAAATAGYTGTTCTGTGAGATGAAGAAAATGCACCTTTTGATTGCAGGGCACCCAGTGTGCTGAGCAAATCAAAGAGCTGCTTCTGAGTCGCTGTGAGGAGAGCTGTGACCAGYGTGTGGTGGAACAGCTGAGTAAACTCCTCAATGACAGCACAAAGCCTGTGGGGCTCATCCTGAGTGAAAGGTTCATCAATGTTCCTCCACAGATTGCTCTGCCCATGCACCAGCAGCTCCAGTAAGTTTGTTTGTATCTTTTTTTCTTGCATGATGTTGAATAATATTTTTTCTTCGTACTTCTTCAAAAATCTCACGTGTACAGAGCTATGTTAAGACAGTTGATGCTATAGAGATAAGTAAAACAYGAACAGAAAATATTTTTTAGCTCATATATGGTCTTTAGTTATTTTTTTTAATATTTTTATATCTTCAGGCTTCTCAAACATTGAAATAGAGGATATCATTTGAGAACATGTGCCGTTCTATCACAGAAATAGCTGTATATGTTGTTGTATTGCGGATTATTTTCACACTGTTGTAGGAATTAAAAATGGGATTTTTTTTGCCATGCTCATAACAAGCAGCTTGGCTGTTCTGTTCATGTGTTAATGTCTGGAATGGCTTTGGAATGGAAGATTTGGGTTGAGGGAAAAGCCTAAAAGGTGGTTGAGTTCTGGCCCATGAAAACCRTTTGCAGTATTGCAAGTAATGACATCTTGCAAGTAATAAGAAAAGCAGGTGAGGTGCTGGTTGATCTCTACCAATTGGTGGTTTTCTGTCAAAAGCTGGGTGGATGTGAAACACAACATTGCATTATTTTAGTGCCATGTTGAGAACTGAGAACAAGAAAATTTTGTTGGATAAGGAACTCCATTAATCAAATGCAGATAATTTTTTTTCTTCTTTTATTATTTTTCTTCTTTCCTCTCATGTGAGATGAGATTAGAAATCATGTTAATACACAAATACAGTACTTGTCACAGCTTGAACTCAGATCTCAGCCTCTTCACCTTAAAGGTTTTGGAGTGACAACATAATGAACACAAGGGTAGGCAAGAGTATTTTTTGTCTCTCTGGTTATAACTCATGGTAGTGATAGTGTGATGTATTTTTAAAGAGAGTTGCACTTAGAATCATTTCACAGRTGGTCTACCATGAACAAGATTCTGGGAAAAAAGGGTTATCTTGTGAGGTGTGGAAAAATATCCATATTTTTATTATTTAAAAGTACAAATAGTATGTTTAAGTACTAGGAATGCATCTGCAAAATTGATTTTCTGAGGCACATGGAAAAGAATAGGCTGCAATAGGAATATCCTTTCTATACTAATACATTGTAAGATTTACTTACATGCTTGTTTAAGATTKAAATGGTGTAAGTGGGTAAACATTTATTTCTCTTTAGGAAAGAGCTGATTGAGGCACAGAGAACAAACAAACCTTGTGGAAAGTGCCACTATTACCTCCTTATCAGCAAGACCTTCACAGAAGCTACAAAGAGCAATTCTAAGAGGAAAGGAGGGAAGAATCAGCCAAAGGAGGAATTAATGTTTGCAAATGCAGAGGAAGAATTCTTTCATGAGGTAACATATGGTTATTTAATTTAAAATGCTTCTTTTTCTTTGCATATCAGCAAAACAAGATGTTTCACCTCAAATTCAAGGGCACCTTTTATCAAAATGATCACAAACACTTTTAAATTAAATCCAGGGTGTTTTGGAGTGGTGTGGAGAGAAGACCAATCGAGCTCTTTTTGTGCATTGATTTATCTGTTCCCTCCTGGGCACCTTCTACTTTCAAAAAACGCTCAGAATGAAAAACTTCTGAAGACCCTGACAAGTGGCTCTTGATTCCCTTTTCTATTTCTKTTCTACTCAGGGCAAATATATTACTAAAAAGTGCTAAAACACTGAGATGARAATATTATTTCCCATTTCCTAAGGCAACCTGTCCACACAATTCTGCTGGTCCCAAGCCAGATCAGGTGAGGGGGGAATGCAGGAAATTAAATTAAAAATGTGCTTTGAAATGCAAGGAATTTTTCATGGTTCGTTTTTAATTTTTTTTTTGTGTTCCCAAAGCTTTAAAACTACTCTTCTACAATATTATTACTTTGTCAAGAGACCATTATTTTTCATTTCTGGCAGTGCCTGCAGGGTAAAGGACTTGCACATGCATGGGGTGGTTAATGGCCAAGGTTCCTGTGTGTAATCATTCTGACAGAGGCTGTGATRGGGCTGTAATTTTATTTCTTGGGAAGGAGAGAAATGTAAGTRGGGGAATTCATTGGTAGCTGTAGGGAATGGTGTTGTACTCTCTGTGCAGTAGCAAGTTGGGGATTTTGTTTTGTGCTCCTGCCACAGCAGCTGAAACAGCTGAACCTGAGCTCTGTGTGAACATTTTATTGAAAAGCTGATGGGGRGAAGCCTGTGCTGCTCATGTGTCCGTGGGTGTTCTGTTCTAGGAGGCCCATTTTGTATTTATTTATCTTAGCTTAGTTATTCTGTTAAAGGCTAATTGTGTCTTTCATCTAAATTGCAGTAATTCTCAACTCAAAAGGATTGACTCAAACTGAACATGTTTTTCTGTTTAACAGCCTTCCCAGTGTTTTTTAAAAAAAAACATTTTAAACATTATGTAGGGTATTAAATTAAATGTCTCTCTGTACTTAATAATGTGTATGTGTTAAATTAGTGCTGGAGTGTCTGTCYTCCCTGATCACACATAATGTTAATTAGATTGCCATAAAATAGCATAAAATGTGGTGAGGCAGACACTTGGAGCCATATCAAACTGAGAGAAGCCTTTTTCTGCACTTGGCACTTCCCTTTGCTTTATTCTGTTCCTTTAAATTATAACCASAAAATCTATTATAACCAGACTTGGAATTGATTAAAGGTGCTCAAATTGTTCTTGAGCAAAGCCACTCAATTAATGTGGTGATTCTTCCAAAATGAGATTTAAAGCCTCAATATATTGTTACTAGAAAGCAAACCTAAAAGGAGAGGGCAGGTTAATTTTCCCACAAAGGAAAGGAATCAGGTAAGTTTTTCTACTYATTGGTTGAGCTCAAAGTTCTGAATCTGACTTGTGTGAGAATTGTTAGCATTTATAAGGTTCTTATCCATCAGGAATTTGTCTAGGAAAGCTGATGAAAGGAGACTGTTCTTTTTACATGGGGTTTATATCCCTGAAAAATGAAAATACACATTATAGACACCTGCCTATTTGGAGAAACATAAAAAGAACTTCCAGAGGCTTCAGCAGGAGCTTTCTGAATTTCTCCTCAGGATTCATATTGGTGTCTATCCCCTTAATATACTCATGTTCTTACATATTAGTTAATTTTTAGGACTCGGGGCAGTTTTAAGTGTAGGCCCTGAAAGCAGCAGAGCCTCAGAACTAAAGGGAGCATTGATTTCCCACCCCCACTCCCAGAAAAGAGAATAGTATAAAACACTTTAAAGAATGGATTTTTGGTAGGTATTTTTGCTGAACACTTCGCCAGGAAAGAAAACTTCTTAAAAAGCATGAGCATAACAGGTTCATTATTATTACTTTGTTTAGATGATGTATTATCTCCGTGCTAATTAAAATTTTAAATCTGAATGCTTTTATTTCTGTTGCTTAGAAAGCCCTTCTGAAATTCAACTACTCTGTGCAAGAGGAGAGTGACACCTGCCTGGGTGGCAGATGGTCCTTTGATGATGTACCAATGAAGCCTTTGAGGACTGTTATGATAGTTCCAGCTGATGGAATTAATGGAATTATGGATAAACTGAAAGATTATCTCTCTCTCTGAACTCCTCTACAAACMCCAGGTTTTTATAGAGCAGCCATGCAGAACTGTGACTTCACAATATTTTCAGAACTGCTGTTGAGTCAACGGTTTTGTGCAACCAGAAATATCCAACAAATGAATATTTTTAAATATATCATCTTATTTTACTCTGCTTATTTTACATCATGAAGCAGTCAATAAAAACCCAGTGTCAGAAGAAAACCTGAGTATCTGCCCATTATATTTTTACAAAGCTAAATGTGGTTTTGTTCCAAAATAATGCATGCAACCTCTTTCGTTGAGAAAAGTGCTTTTTCTTTATGTTCTTTCTGTTAAATACATTTATGTCAAAAGTTTGCAATAATTATATGGGTTAAGGTGGGGATGTGCTTTGAATATATTGCTTTTATTTACTGCTGTCCAATATGTGACAATTCAGTCTAAAATCACTGAATAACACATCCCTGCTCAGTGGGAGKTTGGGGAAATTCCTCATTTTCTTTGCTGTCATTGGTAGTTTCCTGTTCCTCCTTCATGGCTGAAACAGGTGCCAAGTGATTSATCACTTCCTGCAGAATATCCTTGCTTTCACTTGGAGGAAGATTACTGAAATAATACTGAGGTACCAACTCTGCGAATCTGGGGAGGAAATCACACAAAACATTATGAATTTTTTTAATTTAATTTCAAAATATTTGAATGATTATTTCCAGGTGTATGTAAAAGAATCTACAAACTTAATATTTCAACCCAAAACTCYGCAAGAAACCAAGATTCTCTGCAAGATGCAGTGGGAATTTGTGCTTTGAGTAGCCTTGCACTTAATATTTTCAGCCTGCACTTGAGGTGCAATGCAGTTCCCAGTGCTGCAGACTGCATTAAATAGCAATTTTCCTGCTTTAGAACAGAGTGGTTCAATAACATTATGAAAAAAGCTCTCCTATAAACATGGGAAATAGAAAAGATGGGACAGTGAAATGTATATTCTTTGTGTAAAGAGATTTCTGCACAAGGAAGACTCTGGTCTCTCCCTGAATCCATAAACAGTTGATGATTCAGCTGGYTGGGCACAGAAAATATGTTAAGAAAAAGATTTGCTGGAAAATAGGTTTTCAAGGAACAAAGACATTTCCAGCTGGATTCATGTATGAGTACACTGCTCTGTTAACTCTGTATTTTTCTGTATATTCTACTTTGTAAGAAACTCCTGCAGCTAATAAAGTGGGGTTTTTTCAATTTATTATAGTTACAGTGGCAAATATTGAGAATAGTAAGGGCCTGACATCACAGATCTTCCCTTTTATTTCTTTTTATCCCCCCAAAATGATGATTTTGTGGTGGGTTTAGAAGTGAAGGAGCAATTTCATCACAGTTCACTTACAGATGGGGAGAGATCTCGGAGACAACTCTGATGGAATTGTCCTCTGAGATGCTGAACTCGTGGAATAAAACCCACTCAGGAATCCTCCTGGTGTTGTAATAGGATGAGAAGGGATGGAGCTGGGCCACTTGTTTGTGTGTTAACATTAAGTAGTTCCCTGAGCCATCCACATCACGAGCAATCTAAACAAAAATTGAGAGAATTGTCCATTATTTAATCAGAAATTAAACTCGCCTTCAGTTATTTACAACAGGAGAGGCCAAACCTCTCCTGAATTTGTATGGGAGAATTTGGGACTGGATACCATGAAATRAGACTTGAACAAAGTATTCATCTGTGTATTTGAAAAGAAACTGCAACAAGTAAGTACAAAACTATCTGAATTTGGCTTTGAAGGGTCTGTGAAAACATCTATTCTTAATATATTCTTTAGTAGATGTACTCTTCATAGACTTTAAAACACAATGTGTGTCAGGACTCAAAATGTGCACTTGGGAGAGGTCATTTTTGTGTTGAGATGGAGCACAGGGATGTGAAGGAAAGTCTGGGGACTCCARTGGGAATAAATCAATCTTGTTTACATTTACAATTATAGTTAGAGTGCCTTCCTGAGATGAAGCAARCTGTTTATTATTTACACCTAAATATATCCAAGTGATTTCTCTATTTCCAGACAATTTTCACAAAAACACCTTTGAAAAGGAAATGATGTCTGGRAGAATATTACAAGCTCAAGAGTTTTCTGAGGTGAAAGAGTTCTGTGAGTAAAAGGCATATTGACAATTTTCTGATTGCTGTGGAGTGTGTGAACTCCTGCAGTGAGAGATGAACTCCAGAGAAAAGGCTGGAGTGGGCAGAAGTGTTGGATACACTGGGAAAAAATTACTTTTATACTTTGTGGTGATCAAGAGATTTCATTAATGAACTTAAGTTTTACTTAAGTTTTCTGAAAGCATTCTGTATAATTTAACAGCAGAGGAAGATGAAACCACAGTGTTTTTCCTTACGTGCATGAAGTAACCAGATAAAAGAGCTTTCTTAATGCTTAGTAGATTTTCTTCTGATCCRAAGTCTGGCTCTGAAATGGGAAGTTCAATGCGCTTCATAATCTCCACCAGCTCAGCTCTGATCATCTCTGCCATGCTCAGAGCAGAACAGCTCAGGAAATAATCACGGCACCATTTCTCACTGCTGAAGTCTGTGGAGGAAAAAACTGTYTTGGCTTAAAGGAGAATTGTACTGATGGGTGCAATCCACAGAGATGCTGCTCTGTGAAATGCTCTTGGACTGCTGCAGTAAATGATGTCCAAAATTCTGGTAATGAGCCGTACAGGCAGTTTAGGCTCAGCRTGGAAAGTAAGTGGACAATACTTGATATTCTCATTTAGTTTTATAGAACTGCAGCTATTTCCTTCTGAATCAAATCCCTTCTTTGCTCTAAGTAATAGCTTCCAAGAGAATGAGTAGCAGTTCTATTTTTCAGGCCTCATGGATTCAGGCCAGGATATGGRGCTGAAATCACATCTGTAATGCTGGTGCTGATCCTGCCTTCTGGTAAAGAACTGGCTCTCTTGGAGCTCCCTCCAGCATTCCACATGACTGAACAGGAAACAATCCTGCTCTCCTGTCTCAAGTTTTCACTCAGTATGTGCAAATTTATCACTCTGCTGCCTGAGCACTGCACTCGGGCTAAATGARCTGGAGCAGGATGTTTGAACACAACAAAATGAAGAGCTTCTGCTCCCTGCAGTCTGCTGCCTTTTATTTGGCTTCTTGTAAATGTGGACTTTACCACTTTCCMTTTTTTCCTTAAATTTTCCTTGCAGTTCACAGCTATCAAAACCCCACCAGAATTGTTGGGCTGTTGGGGCAATCGAGGCCCTCCTCAACGGCACTAATTCATTTTAAACTTGGATTTTGTGCTTCTACCAATCATTCTGGTTTTGCATAATGTCACTTCAAAGGACAATTGGAATAGTGGTTATGATTCCTGTTGGGTAAGGGATGCTCTCTTAGGTAATTTTTAATTAATGAATAAATTAATATTCATCAGCAATAGCTACTCCCATAGGTTTCTCCCTGCAATTCAGCAGTTCTAGAAGGAATCACCAGATTTTTGGGTTTCTTTTTTTCAAACTGGTGCCAGTATGGTTCATTTTGGCTTGGGCACACTTGCCTGGCTCTGTGGGGTTGGCAGTGGCTGCCTTGAAGGCGTTGAAGATGTTGATGAGGGTGAAGTGATCTCCTGCAGGGTGGGAGAAGCGGCGCCAGC